CCTCTTGTCACCGTGGCGCCTTACGGCCCCGTGCGAGTTATGCAACCCGCCCGCACGCTTGCATGCTGTACAGTACAACATAAGCAAAATAAAGGCACAGGTCTGTGTGAATTCTTGTAAATATTGCAAAGCCTCCTACCCCATCTACAAACCACTGATACAAATTACGTTGACCAAAAATAAAATGAGTTAAATCAACCATACATTTTAATGAAAACATGGTGTCGCATCGAATTTGCTTTACAGACACTCCACAGCAAGTTCACGCAGGGTGAATTCGCGACGCATTTTCACTGTTTCACTGTTTACTTTTATTTCATTAGCCACGTCTTCGGTTCTAACCCACTCCGTTTAGCTACTTCGCGTGTTCATAGACGTACAGTGCATATATATAGTTATATGCCCGTGCCTGACGACAAACGCACGGTCTCCTTCGTTTTACTCCCCAATAAAGTGTTCCAGGAATAAACGCTCGAGCGAGTCCCCTTACGACCGGCACACTTTCGTACGTCCGCTCGGTGACGGCGTTTGCGCCCGTTCCAAGCGCACCTCCCCCGCCCCTCTCCCGCGGGGCCGGCAGTGCGAAGTGCTCCGCGACTGCATCGCACAGCACGTAGTGACAAGCGGCTCTCCTTCGGCCCATGAGAGGGTGGTTCTGGACGAAGGCGCAGCTTGTCGTCGTGGTGTGCCGAACTGCTCAAGGGTTGACGAGGAACCTTGTGGGGCGCCGCGGGGCGCCTCGCGCTCGCCGCGCCTACACGACATAGGTGACAGGTGACGTCAGGGAGGAGTCCCGGGCCGCGCCGGGCGAGGGCGAGGTGAACGCCCCGCGGCCTCGCGCCGCGCAGCGCCTCAACCGCTGCTTGGGCCCCTCGCCGCGCCGCAGCGCTGGTGTCGCGCTCGGCCCGCGCCCGGCTCACCCGGGCTCACCTGGGCTCACCTCTCGCCCGCGCCTCGCGCCTCGCGCCTAGCGCTGCTGGGCGGATCATGAATGCGCATTCTTTCGACTAGTCGAGCGCCCCGCGCCCCGCGCTCCACCAGAGGCTCGGTGATTGGGAACAAGGCGCTGGCCAGCATACCAAACCTCTTGACCTGCCCCCTCTGCCCACCGGACGGGCCGGCACCCCGCACCATGCTGCTTGCGGCAGGAGCAACGGAAAGTAAAAAGGCGCCCAAAATACTCTTTCGGTTTCGATTACTGGCCGTCGGGGTCTCGTTCTTGTCACCGAATACTGCGACTAATAGCGAGTGGGTGTGTGGAAAAGGAGGGGGGTCATTAGCGTGACGTTTGTCTAAGAACAGGGCCCGAATCTCAGTTTATCTGATTTGAGCGAGAATCCATGTGTCAGCAGACCGCTGAGAGAGAAAGAGAGAGGGGGAAGGGGCAGCGAGTTCGTTCATCTTTGGTTCTAATGCAACACACCAGAAAAGCTGGAAACAACTTATCGTCGCTGCAATGGCGAAGTCGTTGCACCCTTGCACTGCGCTCTGGCTGCACCAGGACGGGAGCGGCAGGAGCAGAACAGGTTGTAGCTTCATCTCCCTCCTCTTCCCCTCTCCTCTCTCCCTCTCTCTGTTTGAAGGTGCCCTTTACTGACGCCTCGGTGGGCGCAACGCTACCCCCCCCCCTCCCCTCTCCTACCTCTCTGCCGTGGGCCCCGCGGGTCCCCCCTCCGCCCGCCCGCGCTCCATTCCGGGCAAAGGCAGGGCTGAGTCGCCTGGGCCGGGCTGGGCGTTCGTTTTCGGCTGGGTTGGTCGGACTGGGGGCAACGACCGGGCTGCGGGGGCCCGAGTACCGAGGAGGAGCCCCGCCTCGCGCCCGGCTCCTCGGTATACCTCCCACCTGGGTATATTCCATCCGGGAAGCTCGGTTCGAAGGGCTTCCAACTTCAGAGAAACGCTATAAACGAGCTTAGCTTTCCACCAGTGCAGACCTTGGTATACTCCTCACAGAGATCGTTCATTGGCCACCACATTCCTCGGAAGAGGTTATCCGGCCTCGAAAGAGGGTCTGCCTCACGGAAAGGGGCGTAACGTGTAGTCTTAATGAAAAATGCAGGCGGAGGTTGTAAAAGAGCCCTTGTTCCTCCGTTCTGGTATTCGGTGAAATCCTTTATACAACTCGGCACGTCTGTGACTCGGCACCACGGTGCTCGGCACCAAAAGCATTGCCCTCGACGAAAATGACGGTGCGGTGGCGACTTCGCCAAGAGCTTGCCGGGTACGATCGAGTACGAGACAGT